CATGAAGCCAGCACCCAATCCCGTAAAAAATAATCACCGATGCTACTGAAACTTTGCAGCTCAAAGCCTGATGCCCTATACTGTACCGCAAACGCGAAGAAATTAGATAACAAATGTGGCCACACTGTTCGGAATTTGTTGACTCAATAAATCAGATATTTTCTAACAGAAAGTCTTTCTTCTGATAACACTATCCAAACTTACTAAATACATGGGGTAAAAGTACAAATTAGCAAATCTAGGTTACTTGACTCATTAAAATATGATTAATTATTCATATATATCCTTTTATCTAATGCGGTAAATTTGTTTGGATATCTATCTCGCTATGGGGTGATGTCAGTTAGAGAACTGGTGTGAAATACGGATCACTGGACACTTCATTGACCCTAGCTGGGTACTCATCAACGACACCACTGGTTCACATGGACTGAACTGTCCTCCAGGCCACAATCCAAGGAGGTGTATCATTCAACCATTTGTTGGGAACTAGTCAGCCGTGAATTGTGATGTTTGTCATTTCACAGTATGGCGCCATTGCAAACCCTTGTTGCTTATTAGCCTTTGCCATGCATCTTATATGGTGGACCCTACTTGATCACATTATCCCATTCGAACTATGAGACGTACAATAGTGAACAAGAGATTGACATCTAGATTTCCTAGAAATCCATAATCCGGAAATGGGACTGATTTTTAATATTAACTATTGCTTGAATTGAAATAGATTTGAGATTTCATCTTCTGGATACCGTATTAGTTGAATGGGAAGAACTTCATTTCTGTTGACTGCAGCAGTTGTAATGCTGTTGTTATGAAACTATATTAATATATGGTCTCATAACTCATATGAAATCTTTGAATATTTTCAGGCCTTCCTTATATATCACACTGTTTACCCTTGTGTTTGAATGGAGATAATTACTTCTCATTGCACAATCCTCTGGTAGTCAGTGGTTCAACTTTAGGACTCTTGCCAACCACACACAGTGTTCAGGTTCCCTTCCCAGTCGAAATACTTCGGAACCTAACCTGTTCTACTAGCCGATAGCAAGCCAAAAAAGGATGAATAGCCGGGAGTGAGACCAACAATCCTACAGTTACCGAAGATGTTGGATTTGGAAGTCTTATGTACTAACCAGAAATCATGGTGCGAAAGAAGACAGTCGTCTACACAGGTACATATCAAATTCCAAAATGCCATCTAAACCAGTAAGGAGTAAAAATAATTGAAGAACAAATTATTGGACACAAAGAAAATTCCTTTCGATAATTTCCCTTTCCCCAAGCTTTTCAGTTAAATTTCCACATAAGGTGAATAATAATAGGTTTCTAATTGACTGGCGGAATCCAGTGGATTAGCTTTTCGTGCGGCTTAGAGTTCATCATCAGCTAGGTGTACTTTTATCTCTGGCAAGACTTTGACACAGCACCCATCATTTCAGATACGAAAGCACTATTCATTGGGTCGCCAGAGTCACCACTAGTGTTGCCAGTATCCGTCGATATTTTATTTCGCTTGTTTTAAACTTTAATTGAATAGCACCATATTTACCTTCAGAAATCGTCTAAGCGCCCATACTAAGAGCCGATGTGTCAACGGAATCCAAGCATTGCAGTCCAAAATAATCAATCAAAAGGAAAATCGAAGTAATCCAAACAAATAATAGCCGATGCTAGTTGTATTGGAGATGGTAGTCTATTCGTGGTCAAACGGCCCAGCGATGAATCATCGAATCAGACAGTTTAATTTGGAATCAACAATGATTAAGCTAAAAAGCGGTTATAGTTCATTTGAAGGGGCATAGCCTCATAGGATGATAACCATTTTGTTCGGCGTGAAATCCATATTATCAGGATGTATCACTATTTCAAAGTAGCTTTACTCAAAGTAAAAATGAGTGTACTACAAGAGATATTACTACCGCTTCAATCTGTAGGACAGCAACATGCATTTCAGTCGATGATTAAACACTTTTCTAGATCCTTAACAAAAAAATAAGGGTTGTACAGATCTAAATTATAAGGGAAAATGCGTTTGCTCCAACCATATACAGGCCTGTTAAGTTTCTGGTCAAGCTGCTTACCCAGCATATTTCCTTCCTATCCTGCTCCCTGAAACCCTCTTTGGCTGGTCCCATAAGATTTCATCTCCTCTTTTTCACAAAATCCCCACCATGTAACTAACGGACACTCAACTCAGAGTCCCCCATCCAGGTTCTCCTAGGTTCGCGATGCCATTAAGCGGTCTTCTCAGCGTTTCTGATCCACATCCATTTCTCGGTAATGTTTGTTGAGCAGTAGGTTCCTGGTTGGTCCGTTCCCAGGGTTTCTTGTCACCCATCGTTTTTGGCTGGCCATCCAATCTTTAGGATATAGACAATGAAAGCAGCTGTTGATAAAACTCTGCAACCTTTTAGAAATGATTTTCATGACGCCCTCGGGAAGTCCCTCACCATATAATGAAGAACTAACTAACTTGACACTAGTGTTGAATATCACAATTTTGTTTCTGATTCTGAATACTGAAAATTTCCCAAATGATTCTAGAATGATGTCTGTCTTGCTTTACTGATCCCTCATTTGAAGTCCTCATCCATGCCGGAGCAATGCTGCCAATTAACTGGAAGAAATGACCCCCTTGAAATTAGTAATTGTTGTTTCTGGCTAGTTATTTTCATCTCCTGTATCTTGTCTGTGTTTACATGAAGTCTTGTGTTCTTTGCCTGCATCTTCTGCCAAACTGTTGGATTGTGACTTTAGATCTTCGCGTTTGCTTGACACTAAACATAGGTCATATACAAGACCCATATCTTCTAGAGTCTTCTTGTCAGTCCAATGTATACCTATTTTACAAGTGAAAGGCATTTCAGCGACGAAAATTTTCCTTATCAAGGAAACTATCATCAGAGTATGGTACGACGCATTTGTACCAAAGACACATGGGTGATGCTTTCATCATATGTGACGAGAATGCCAACATCAAAATGATATCTAAGGAGTTCAGTAACTGCCATCATGACATCCAGTTCACAACGGAATCAGAGATGACCTCGGAACTCCATTTTTTAGATGTTATTTTAAAAAGGAGATCTGATGGCTACCTTGAAAGATCGATCTACAGGAAACCCACATAGAATGGTTAGTATATGAATTTTTATAGTTGGGTCCCTTTGAGAAGAAAGAGAAACCCGATCCACTCCTTATCCTCAAGAATAAGAAGGATATGTTCCAGTGATACAATCGATGGGGAACTGAAGCGACTCAGACAAGTCCTCATAGAGAATGGATATCCTCCAAGATTTATCGAGAAAAACATGAAGGTTAAGAAAAAACCTGAAAGAACCGAGAGGGTGACGAGGAAACTGCTATTTATGAGCATTTAATTTAAAGGTGATGCCACAGCCGAGATCCTGAAGAATCGCTTATGAAGATCACTGGGGAAAACCCTATTTGCGGCTGAGCTATGGATTAATTTCAGCAGCCGACAGATAATCAGTGGATGTGTGAAGAGTAAACTCCCAATTTAAGTCACTTCAATGTGTGTTTAAAAATTCACCTGCTCCTGTGGAGTTAGTTATATTGTCCGAACAAAGCGCACACTTTTCCTAACACATCTCTGAACACTATCCGGCATGGTTACTAGCTCAATTCTCGAAAACTTAGTGAACTCGAGCCCCGCAGCTCCCTTAGAATCGTATTTCAAGATTATCTACAAGGTGAGGCCAAAGGGCATTAAGTTTCGGCCTTTGTATATGATGGAGGCGTTGGCAATTGGTCAATACAACCCCGAATTCTGTATATAGAAAACGTTTGTCCAGTCTCTTATTCTATCATTGTCTTAACCTCTTCACTAGTCGTTCCCTGTAAAAAATTTTTATTTTCAATGATTACTTCGCTTTTACTTTAATAATTAATTCACTATTATCACTCCCACATGTTACTTTCATACATTTTCTTACCGTCTTCAAACTTGTTAGATTGAAACTCGACTACTTTTCTTCTCACTAGTCAATAACAATTTATCAAATTTTTAGAGCTTTCTTCTTTTATGCCATTGAGTATTACGTAACTTACAACTTTTATTTTTACTTTAGAAGCCACTTCTGAGTAATTATATCAGTTATGTCATATACACCCCGTAGTACTCAATAATAGACTACTATAAATATAAATACAACTGTTCAGCCTGTGAAGATGAATTCGTTGATAAAGAAAAGAAAATTTTCTTCACTCACTTGTCTTTTATTTTCTTCATGACCCAACTAGTAATTTCGGCCATCTTATAACTAATACAGTTTTCGGTAGTAGTCTGCAGCTCTCAAGAGAACTCGTAAAATATCTAGTGATATCACTTTATACAACAGATTTGGTCGTTAGAAGTTAATTGGTGGGTGATAACTGGCAGTGGAATCGAGAATAGTGCGCATTTTGTCCTATTCGAGACTCGTCATCTAGTGGGTGTAGCTCCATTCCCTAGTGAGTGATAATGTTACCACCAAGGTTCTAACCCAGTTTTCATCGTTTCAAACGCCACTAGGCCACTTGGACAACGAGAGCCACCTCTTATGCAACGGGTCATATTAATTATTTAATTGAATTTTAGATTTTCCCGCCGACTGATTGGACCGAAGTGCACCGTCTCAGGTTGACATGAGGTGGCTTTCATGGCCCAAGTGGTCTAGTGGATAACACTTTGGTGTTTAGAACTATGGGCACTGTGTTCAAGCCTCGGTGGGAACATCACCGCTCACTGGGGGATGCAGGTACATCCAATTTGCGAGTTTCAAATAGGAAGAAATGAGCATCCTGGATTCCACTGCTAGTCACCATCCACCAATTAACTTCTAATTACATGCCCAGACGTCTAGGCGTCTGCACACGAAGCCGATATGTCAACCTGAGACCGAGCACTTCGGTCCAATTAATCGACGGGAAAATCTAAGATTGTTTACTTTGTTTTCTTTACGAAATTTGTCAAGAGAACACATGAGTGTATGAAAATAAAAAGTTTGATTTCAATTGTCTGAATCAGCGCGCTTCAGCTGTCGTTGTTTATTTTATATAGTAAATAATTCTACATTCATTTTTAATACTACTAATTTAGACATTTAAGTAGTATGATAAAATTAGAATAAATAGATATGTTAACAAGAAAATATATAAAAAGCAAAAAGTCTCTCAAATGATAAAGAATTCATATAAAAGCACATTGGGAAATATTTTCTAAGACGACAAGGATACGCATTAAACCTTCATACTAAACACTCTATTCATGCATTCATCATAAGGCATAATGAAACAAAATGAAACGATCAATTCTTGAGTAATAATAATTAGTAAGTTCAAAAAATAGATAGACTGAACTCAATGAAGCTAACTCACACACACACACACACATATACAGATCATCGGTATTTGTTTAAATCTTGTCTCAACAATATTCATTGAAACATTGAAACAGTTATTAAAACAAACTCAAACAAACCACGCGCGCGCACTTCAAACGCCGGAAATCCATGCATATACAACACATTACCATCCATTCATCCATCCGTCTGAATACTCTGTGGTTTAGCGAGCGTGTGTGTGCTACGTATATTTGAAGCAAGAGAGAGATAGAGATAGAGCGAGAGCAAAAGGGAGTGACAGAGGGAAGGTGGTCGTCTCACATTCACTACATTGAAGTATATATATATATTATGCAATTTGATAGAAGTTTGTAGGATAAGTGCTACTTTCAGCTTGTTGACTTATTATTCTAAAATTTAGAATAAACAAAACAGGGTTGACAATGACAACATTTAAACAACAACGATAACAAGAACGGCGACAACAACATCAACAACACCAACAATAACGACAACAGTAAACAGGTAAGCAAATTATGGTAAATAGATAGTGGCATTAAGTAGGAATTATCGTAGCATAAAAGTACTCTGACATAATGATAGTAATAATAATAATAATAATAGTGATTTCTCTCCGTCAATCTTTGCCTTCATCTCATTCTGATTACTATTTTTTTTTTATTTGGATGACTTTTCACTGTGCATTTTGTATGTTGCTCTCTGAACTGTACTCATCATATCACTAAAAATGATCACAGTGTATTAGCTTATTTTTTGGAGGGGTAGTAAGTTCTGATTTGGAACTCTTCTTGATGGAGATACCTGTTTTCATGAAATGATTACCGATTATTACTATTGTCACTGGATTTATCATTGGTGTTACTGTTGCTGTTGTTGTTGTCAACTTTCATGGCTTCAATTCTCCTGTGAATTATGTAAAAAGAGGCAAACAATGGAAGAAAAAATGAAAGGAAAGAAGAGGGTCATTTTCCGTTTGATAGATATGCAGTAATATGAACTGATGTGACCACGTTTCGAGCACAAATTATTGTCACTCATAATCATATCAAGGTACTCACTCACATAACTTTCTCGTTTAATTTATATACATGGGTGAAATTGACGATTAGACAATTGAGTAAAATTCAATATAGGATAATGTACATTCAGAAATAATAGTAATAATATTAGTGTTATTGATCAATTACAATCAGATAGGAAATAAGACGAGTGTTTTTATAGTCAAAATAATGAGTAACTTGTTAGAATGTTATAATGTGTATGTGAATTGAGTTGAAATAGAATTTTAAGATTATTTATTATCCTCCTCTGATTTGACTGTTTGGCGATAATAATATCTTCCATATTTCTGTTGCATGTCAGGATTCAGTAATCAACCACCCTCTCTCTCCACCTACTTTTATTACTTCTTAGAATTTTGACTGTGTTCCATCCACCCTATTGTGTTGTTAATGCATGTTAATGCATGCAGTGCAATTCCTGAGCTTTTTTCTAAATTACTTATCTTTGTTGGTGGAGTCGATCATTCTAGCCTTAGCTAAATTCTTATGTTCTGTTAATCCCACTACTTCCGATCTACTAGTTTGATCTATGTAGTTGACCTCACTCACAGTCATTGCAGGGTGTCTTGTAAATTATATTATTTTGTCTAATCGTGTCAACTGGATACTTTAACCTACAGAGCTTGTTTTACCTGAGTGAGTTCGTAGGTTTAAATGCCACTCTAATTCCTGCTTTATTAAGAATCCCACTACGTAGAGTCTCACATGTCCCCTCCTTATATGGTAAAACTACTGTAGATGCCTTATATTGTTTCTTATTTAGGTTATCATCACTAGTTTCACCATTATTTTTATTTTGCTTTTGACCTTTTCTGATCTTCCTAATGAATTTTATAGGATAGTTAGTTATTTCACACCAACCAGCTATTCGTCTATCTGTTTTATTTCACTATTTAGGTATTTTGTTGTACTACTTAGTGCTACTGCTCGGTTTGTTAGACACTTAACTAAGTCTGTCTTCACAGATAGATAACGGATGAGATGAATTAAAGTCTAAATATCCAATATTAAAATGCGTTGGCTTCTTATAGACGCTAGTGTGCGGTTAACCTTCTTCTATTCAGATGCCTAATCAATTTTACTCATGTATATAAATGAAGCAAGAAAGTTATGTGAGTAGTGCTTTGATATGATTATGAGCAGCGATAACTTGTACTCGAAACGTGGTCATCAGTTAATATAACTGTACAACAACAGTACGTGATTTATCGAAATAAAATCTTATCTACAATGGAATTCTACTCTACCACAGTGCCCAAGTTTTATGCTTATGTCTGAATGAATATTTTCTCTAGATTAAGTTAATATTATTATTTTTCGGTGAGATAATCGAGTATCAAACTGTTGACAATTTCAGCTTCAGTTAGCCATGCTGGTGTGTCTTCTCCAGCACAAAAAATCAACTTATCGAGAAGGGATACGCTTTCTTCCTCAATCAGTCTCCCGAAGTACATTTCATATAATAAAGTACATTGAAGTTGAGGGATCACAGGTGTATTCGAGTTCGAGAACCATTCAATATCAGGAAGTATTCGAAAGCTGTTTCATTTTATATTTAGGATAATCGGGTGAGGCGATAGAAATGTAGTGCCTACTGAAGAGTCCCAGACTAGGACGAAACACCTAGTTGTCCATAAATTCCTGGAGGTTTTCAATGGTTCTATGTCATTCAGTTTGTGATAAAACTTGTGAAAGAAACAAATGAAAATTATATTGCTTACTTTTCTAAATATTCAACAATCTGAGTATGTCCAAACAATTTAGCATCTGATAGGGGTGTATGACCCCAACGATCAACTGGATCTAATTTAGCATTACCAACTTCAATGAAAAATCTCACAGCATCTAGTGAACCAGAACTTGCAGCTACATGTAGACCAGTCCGCCCATCATAATCGACTGAATTGAAATCTACGCCATGAATGTAACTTCTAGAAAAATAAAAAAGATAAAAAACAGGGGGGGGGGAGAAACAAGTTTAAAGCAATCAATTTACCCTTGATGAATATCGATAAAAAGCAATAAGAAGAGAGGCAGTTAGTATGCTTTACTCCCAGCATTCCCTCCTTCTCCAGACTTAGCATCCTCTACTAAACTGGTGAAATAACAAATTAGCTTTTAGGCTGTCAATTGGAAACCCAATGGGAATGGATGACTTGGGTGTGAATCTCAGGGGGAGAAGATCGTGTCTGGAGGAGAAAAAAGTTTATGAACAACCGTGTAGCCAGATTAAAATGTCTGTATAGAACAGGATGAAACGGAGATACTCTGTTGAACCCTTTTGTTTCACATAGAAACTTAGGGAATAATAATTTTAATTACTATGCAGTCAAACTCACCACATTGCTCGAAAACATTAGCCCCAATTACAAATTTCGACAAAACAATAAGAAGACGTAAATTATATTAATCGTGTAGTGTATTTGAACCCTAGTGAAGTGACTCTTTGCTTTGTCATCAAACAAAGTATATAATGGTAGTCAAACTTGTACCTTAAATTAATCGACTTCAAGAAGACCCTCAACTGAGTTGATGGAGAAGTAATTTGGAAAACACTTCAGTACTACAACATCCAGCGACCAAGACTTTATCAACCTCATTCAACAGCTGGCTATATGACAGTGCCACGTGTCAGGTGATCCACGTTGGGAAACTCAGCGCAGCATTCCAAGTAAATACAGAAGTAATACAAGGCTGTCACTACTATCACTGATGATATTCCTAATTGTGGTCGACTGGACTGTGCCTCGAAGTGAGAAGACAGGAATACACTGGACAACCGATAAGAAGACTCTAGAACATCTGGATTTCGTGCGTGGTCGGTCGGTCGGTCAGTTTTCGACATAGAACTCTGCACATATGTGCGGAAGTTCAAGTCGCCACACTCCATGTAGCACACAAAGGAAGAGAAGGAAGTAGGAGAAATGCATAATATAGTCAGTAAACAGAGGTGAAACAAAGGAATAGTAATAACGGAGAACAAAACAGTTTAATCGGAAATCATAAATCACAAGGAGTGGATGCATCTGCGCCACTGAGAACGATTTTGAGCCATGTCACCAATTGTTTCCAACCATTGGTTTTTACCGTCCCGAGGATCCCGACCAGGAAGTCTACATCTTCCTACGTGGCTTAGACTAACTGTTGTAGATTTCATTGACTGGTGCCATGTTTTGGTTTGACCGCCGCTAGCTTTCTCTTTTCTAGCCTGACCCTATATCAGCTAACATTGCCTATTGTTGACGAAGGCGATGACTAGGCATGCGTAGCACATGTCCTAACCATCTCAGTAGATGTAACTTCACAGTCTCATCGACTGATATCCCCGCCTTACCTAGCACTCGATCGACACCTCACCTCAATATTGCTCACCTTATTATACCACTTCACATGGGAGATAGAACGCAGACACCTATGATCAAACACAGCTAATCTTTTCATGTCTTCTACTCTCAATGGCCAGGTCTCACAGCCATAAAGGAGGACGAAGCGGACTGTTGAGCAATACACACGCCCTTTGGTCGATAGTTGGATATCACGTCTACGCCAGAGACGGCGTAGACCGGCATATGCGAAATTAGCTCTCTGTATTCGTGCTGAGATTTCGTCGGAGATCAACCCGTTGGCACTGGCTGATGGTACTTCCCAAATAAGTGAAGCGGTCAACGTGCTCTACCACTTCACTTCCTATTTCTAATCTAGGAGTCAGTGTAGTCCAATCCTGTAGAATCATCTTGCATTTTACAGGGGCGAATCGCATGCCAAACATACGAAGATTGTTGCTCAAGGTGTTCAGTAGACTCTGCATTTTGTCAGCGTCCTCGCCTAGAAGGACTATATCGTCTGCATATTCTAAGTTGACGAGATTATTCTCTGGTAGCAAGTCAATCCCTGAGTCGCTGAAGTGTGTTAGGGTTAAGTCCATTAGTACGTCTATGATGAAGTTGAATAGGAATGGGGATAATGGGCATCCTTGACGGACGCCACTAGTCGTCACCACTTCAGATGACAACTCGCCATAAGCCCTCACCTGGCTGCATGAGTACGAGTAGAGTGCCTTAATCAGTGCAATGTATTTTCTCGGCATTCCCTTTACAGCCGGGCATCGCCAGAGAACCTCTCGGTCAACAGAATCGAAAGCCGCCTTTAGGTCAAGAAATATAGTGATTGTCGGACGCCGGTAGGAATGCCTATGTTCTAGAATCTGTCGAAGGGTGAAGATGTGATCAATACACCCTCTCCCTGGCCTAAAACCTGCCTGGTTTTCTCGTGTTTGTGCCTCCCGAGCACCACTTAGTCTGCGCAGTATTATTGAATGGTTTATGTCACACAAACTCGAAGAATTGCAGGCAAAAACCGACAAACTGGCTGAAGAAGCAGACAGCGAAGGCGGGACTTTAGGTGAACACAGAGATGACGGAGGTGATGAAGAAAACCAAGCAACTAGCAGCAACAGCGACAAAAACCAGCACCAATCATCATCAATGGGAGAGATTTGGCAGAGGTCACCTCCTGCCTTCACTTATCCATCCAGGAAGCACGGTTTCAATCACAGACGACAGCACAGATGAAGATGTCAAAGCTAGCCAGCCAGAATCGGAAGGGCAAGATACGCACGCCTTCATTAACCTGAAACCAGTTTGGAAATCTTCTTTACTCCACCTCAGTATGAAGAACAAGATTCGGATTTTCAACACAAATGTGAAGTCAGTCAATTACTGCTCCCATATGGGTCAGAAACTTGCACTGCGTGCCCATCACCAAAAAGATTTCCAACAAGCTGTAGACTTTTATGAACAGCTGCCCCCTTCGCTGGATCCATACTGAAGATCAAATGGCCAGCTGACCGGTCAGAAAGAAATGACAGCAACAAGAAACTCTGGCTGAGAAAAATCAAACTGAGAGCCGAGTGCTCAACAAATATGTAGGGGAAAATGAAGTTGGATGGATCGGGTATACGCACCATTGAGGAGGCCTTCGAATTACATCGCCTGCAATGCAGACCATTGCTCGAGTGGAATCCAAATAGGAATAGACGAGTTGGTCGTCAATGAGAAGGTGACACGGAGGAGATCGTGTGTTGCGGGGGAGGCGATGAGAGATTATGGGCTATCGTGTGGCTAGCCAGCTGAATAGGTCAGCAGAATATAGAAAAAAGTGGAGATGTCTTGTTGAAGCCGTATTTTCTACTCGGAAACCAAGGGAATAATGATAATAATCTAAGTCAGAAAGAGTTGGAAACGAAAACAGCGGGAGTCAGTCGTTTTTGCTTTATACTCTCTTATCAATATATGCCTATATGATGACCTCGTTTTGTTTAAATTATAAACTGCATAAGAAAGAACTTCCTATCCTACTTATTTACTTACTTTTACGGCGATATTGTTCAATGAGGAATTAGAAACAGAATAAAAGCAGTGAAAACAAAGATGGAAATAAATAACTTCCTGCCTTTTAACTTATTTATTTTCAATATAATAAAGTTTTAATTATTTAACTGTTCTCTTCCAAAACAATATTTATTGAATCTACTTTGAATTGACCTCGGATGAATTTTACACGACCTGAATGATTGACTACTCTCACATCCTACATAGCACTGCTTACCTAACTAACACTCTATGCTTAAGCAAACTATTGGTGATTTAAATTAGAGAACCATTAAAAACTAAGGCTGGATTACTGGAGAACTGTTTCGTCCTTGTTTGGGACTCTTCAGAGGTAGAAGTTCCATTTTATGATAAAGGTGAAACCAGTCGAAACGCTGAAAACCAAGAAACACTTGAAAATTAATCAAGTGGTGACTATTGACACAATACAGGAGAAAGCTGTCTGAGATCCTCTTGAAGAGGTCATGATCATTAGCGTTCACCGAGTTGGATATGAGGATGGATACTCATCAAGGACATTGGTTGGAGGTGGTGATAAAAGTCACGAATTAGCAGAAGTTCAGTGGGATCCCATCCCAGCGGTTGATTGGTATATGAGTTCGCCTTGTAATCAGAGCGTCCTTGGTTTTATCCCTGGCGGATTTGCGGGTGCATATTGTTGAAATGTTCCAAGGAAGGATGAAACAGCTTATTTTCCAGTACTCCCTAGTCTACTTACAATCAGTTCTCCAACTGAAGTCAATTTTTGATCAGAACTGACTATAATTTTGCCTAGAATAGTAAGTAATCTCGTAAAAGTATTCTTCTTTAAAATTAATTACTCTCTTTTAGTTTTTTTTGTGTTTCAAGCTGCTCTTAGAGTGGAACATGAAGCTTCAAGTTTTGATTTCTCCATACTGAAGTGTTTTTTAGGAGTTAGGATTGCTGGATTCATCTTTCCGTTTTTCTTTTCTGGGATGACTACCGTTTTATTTGAACTTAATTACTGGGAACACACTTCTCATATACCAGGGTATGAGTCAAACTCACTTGTCCAGATTGAATTGAGTGATGAGGGACTCAAACTTATGACCCACTGGTTGAAAACTGAGCACTTAAGTCACAAACCACAATTTTTAACATGACAAAACTACGTAATTATTTCAGTATTTTTTTCCAAAAAGTTAATTTTGTTGAATCAACTTTGAATTGACCACGGATGAAGGTGTACCATTATCATGGCTTGCCTAACTAACACTCATTATTGCTGATTGTACACCTCCAATCATTTTTTTATTTTCAAAAGAATGGACACGGAACAAAGAGTACTCTTTTCGATAAATTCATTATCAGGCTCTAAAATTATATGTACATTATAATGAATGAATGAATTAGTCTTATGAACGACAATAATGTTTAAAAATAACATCGAATCAATAATACTGATAGATTACAGCTGAATAGCATCAACATAAAATATAATATTACAAATTCATGAGTTCATAGTCTCTACTGAGGGCCAAGACAGTAGTAGGGGCTGGACTTATTTCTTTTGAACACAG